GAAGGGCAAGAAATCATCAGATGCCCTCATTGAGCTCGACAAGGTTGAATCTCCCCTAAATGATGACCCACCAGCCACGGCCGGTGGATTAGACAACGACGACTTCTTCAACTCGTGGAGCACGGGTAAAGATAAGAAGTCGATCAAGCCAGATACAATCGAGGAGCCAGCCGCCGACGACACTTGGGGGGCGCTGACGTCGTCTTCCAAAAAGAAGAAAGGCAAAGCCAGCAGCAAGAACACACCGGTTGAGCTCCTAGAAGAGACCAGCCTGGAGTCTGTTCATCCCGACTCGGTCGAGGAGATCAAAGACGACAAGGCGGACGAAGACGAGTGGGGTGGAGGTTGGGGAGCATCCTCGAAGAAAAAGAAGAGCAAGTCCCGCAAGGAGACGATTGCAGATGAACCGCCCCCGCCAGCGCCGACACCACCGTCGATGGACATGGCGGATCCGGAGGCTGAAGCTGAGGCCGACAACGCGTGGGATGAAGGGCCTTCCAACTCTCTCACTCTAACCAAGACCAAGTCTAAAGAAAAGGATAAAAAGTCCAAAGAAAAGGAACCTAAGCTCAGCAAGAAGGAACTTGAAAAGCTGGAAAAGGAGAAGAAGAAGGCAGAGAAAGAGGAGGAGAAGCGCAAGGCACAGGAGGCTAAAGAGGCCGAGGAACAGGCTCAGCGCGATGCCGACGAGCAGGCCGCACGCGAGGAGGAAGAACGGCAGCAGCGGGAGGCGGAGGAACGGGTTCGACTTGAAATTGAAGAGCAAGAGCGCAAGGGCGCCGAAGCAGCAGACATTGCCAGGGAGGAAGAAGACCTTGCAGCGCTGACGACCAAGAAGAACAAGAGGAAGAAGCTGACGCGAAGCGACCAAGAGAAGTTTGACCGGCTGACCGACAGCGTCAACAAGCGCGCCGAGGAGAAGGCTGCACGCGAGGCCGAGGAGTTGGAGAAGAAGCAGGAGGAAGAGAGGGCGCTGGACGAAGAGCTCAGGGAAGCTGAGGAGAAGGCGATCCGTGAAGCCGAGGAGACAGCGCAGCGCGAGTGGGACGAGCAGGAGGCTGAGGCGGCTGCTTCCAGCAAGAAGAAGTCGAAGAAGTCAAAGTCCAAGGCAGCCAAAGAGGAGAAGAAGGAGGAGGCATTGCTGTTGGCTGAGGACGATGAGTTCAAGGACATCGATCTCACAGCTGAGCAGGTCGAGGAGCTCCTGGCCGGCGCCGACGACGACAGCAGAAAGCACAACAAAAGCAGCAAGGCGGCCAAGCCAACCATGGAAAGCATGGGTTGGGGTGGAAGCCCCCCTGTCCCTGCAGCGCCCGCGCCCGCCCCCGCTGAGGATCCATTCAGTTTCTGGGGTGCAGCCAAAAAGCCTGCCTCAGCCTCCAAATCCAAAAAGAGCCTGGCCTATGACCCATGGGCTCCGCAGCCACCAAGCGAGATTAAGGCAGCTGAGTCATCCCGGTTTCTAGAAGCTGCTTCCTTTGGTGTCATTGGTGCATTTGGTGGCGCGGTGGGCACGACTGAGGTGTGGAAGTCCACCGAGGACACCGAGGCCACACCGTCGCCCTTTACCGAGAATGCGAATGCCCGGTCCCTCAAGACGAAAAAGCCAGTTACGGGCAAGATTGCCAATCGATTGAAAGCCTTTGAGCCCCTCGACGACTTTGACTTTGGCACTTCCAAGCCTGCCCCATACGAGCAAAACGAGGACGAAGGCGAAGAACGATCACGTCCTCCAACCCCAGCCCCAGCCCCCGCCCCAGTCCCAGTCACGGTGGCGCCCGCCAAAGAGGAGAAAAGGAAGAAGAAGAGCAAGGACAAGGCCAGGGCCCTCGACTTCCAGGAATTTGACGCCATCCCCACGCCGCCACCCCCTCCACCACCGCCGGTTGCCGCCTATTATCAGTTTGCCGACAGCCAGGAACGCGACTCCAGCCCGCGCGACGCTTTCCCGCTCGATGACGATGACGAGATAGTGGAAATCGTCGACATGCCCAAGAAGGCCAGCAAGAAATCCAAGAAAGCTTCGGCCACCCCAGAGGCAGTCTATGCCCCGCCCCCGCCTGCTCCACCGCCGCCCCCAGCTGTCCCCGATGCCCCCGAGTCGCCCCCGGCCGAGGTCAAGTCGGCCAAGAAGGAGCGCCCCAAGATCAACCGTGATGGCCCGTCTTGGGGCATGTGGTCAGCGACACCAACCAGGGATCCACGCAAGACGTCCTCCAAGCCCAAGCCCGAGAAGGACGCAAGCGCCAGGAAGAAGGAAAAGGCGGTTGCTGCCGACAAGGGGGACAAGACATCTTCCAAAGGCTCAGGGACCGACAAGGCCGATAAGGTGCGCTCCAAAGAGCCCCCGACGCCCATCCGCTTCGCGAGCGTCTTTGCGAGCACACCGCCCCTGTCGCGCTCCATGTCCAGTAAGGACAAGCGCACCAGCGCCAGCAAGTCGAGCTCACGGAGACAGTCGATGGAAATGCCGCTCGAGCCTGCGCCAGAGATGTCGGCCAAAGCGGCCAAGATTCTTGGCGTCGGTGCAGCCGGCGGTGTTTCGAGGTCCGCCAGCAAACGAAGCAAAAAAGGTAAGGATCGCACAATGCAAAGGGCCAAACTTCAGCTTACTAACATGGTTCTAGCCGTTGACGACGACGACGATATTGTCATGGTTGCTGCTGCTGATGCGACTCCTGGCCCAGACAGGTCGGCTCGGCGAAGATCAAAGGTAGACACTCAATACGAACCAAGAAGCAAGAACTTCACATCTGACTCTGAATTTCAACAGCAATATTCGCGGGATGACGATATTGTCATGGTTGATCCCGCCGACGCAACGCCCTCGCGACCTCCCCTGAAGCGTTCCAACTCGAGCGCTGCCAAAAAGCCTACAGGCTTCTCTTCTCTCTTTGGCGGTGTGTTTACACCCAAACCCGAGGCTCGGCCTGAGCCTCGTCGTCGCAACACCATCGCCGGCACCGACGACGAGGGCGCCAGAAGGGGTGACGATTCTCCCATGACCGAGGCAGAGCGGGAAGCGCGTCGCGCAAGGCGGGCAGCGAGGCGGGCAGAAAAGGAGGCGACAGAAAGGGCTGCAGAGGAGGCTCGACGCGCCAAAGATGCGGCACGTCGCGAGCGCCGCAAGAAGCAGGAGGAGGAAGACGAAGCCCGTCGTCAAGAAGAGAAGGAGGCTCGTCGTGCTGAGCGGCGAGTCCAGCGCGCGCGCGAAGAGGAGGAACGACGTGCCGCTGAGCAGAAGGAAGCGGAGCGCGCTGAGCGTCGTAGACTGCGCGCTGAGCGCCAGGCCGCCGAAGCCGAAGCCGAAGCCCGCCGTGCAGCGAGACACGAGCGTCGGCGCGGTCAGCAGCCCGAACCGGTATCTGAGCGTGACGATGAGGAAGAGGAGCGTAACAGGCGTCGGGAGTCGCGACGCGCTGCGAGAGAGGCTGAGGCTGGTGGAACGGGTAGTAGGGAGCTGCGGTCACGACGCAGACCGGACCAGGTAGACGATTACGTCTACCCAAGTAAATCCCGGATGAAGACCGACTCGTGGCCGCACTCGGGCACATCTTCGTGGGTTAAGGACCATTCCGATGCGCCGCCGCCGCCGGCTGACGGCTCTGACGGCGTAGTTGGGCCGTCTCCCGAGGCTGATGATGAGGAAGCTCGGAGGGCAGCGGATCGGAGGGCTAGACGGCGAGCCAAGTACGCCGAGGCTGAGGCCGGCGGCGCCGGCGGTGGTGGCGGAGATGAGGATGAGGAACGACGCCGGAGGAGGCGCCGCGAAGATCGGGAACGCACCACACGCCCAGCCGGCGGCTCGGATGGGAGTGATCCTCGAAGAGACAGTCGCCGTAATTCGGCGTTTATGGACACGACGCCGAGAAGCAGCTGGTGGAAGAAGCTGACGGGGAACTAATTGCTTGATTGATTGACGGGAGCACGAATGAGTGTATGACGATATGTTGGGGAGTCACCAGTGTGTATCAGTGTATGATGACACTGTGCAAGGGATATGTTGATACAATTGGGTTTTACATATAGCGGGACAAGCCGGGACACACATGAGCATGTACGTCGGACTGGGAGGAAGCATTTGCTTGTTTTGAATTTTCAGCTGGTTTGGTGGTTATCATGGGCCATAGTCTCTGTCTCATATCTGACTTGGCCGGGCTTGGTCTGATTTCGAAGGGAGTAATAATGTGTGCGTGCGTGCGCTGATTTTGGCGTGTTGAATTCTCAAAAAGGAGAGCTAGTTTCTGGTTATCTCACTGGCTGGCTGGTGTAGACTACACGTTAGATTTCTTGTTTGCGGTTGATACCACTCCATTGTCTCTTGTGTCTCTGCCTGTACGTCTCTTGTTGTCGCAGGAGCTAGCTTGTGGGTTGGCTTGACTGAAGGGGACGTTGTGGTTTTAGCTTTTTAGATACCTTCATCTTGTTATCCAGGCATGTCTCTGGAACAGAGGAGGTAGAAGGAATAGATGTGACGTAGTAGAAGTTCTATACCCAAATATCAATTATTATTAAGCCTTTCCATGAGTTGTATTCTTGCTTGTCCTTGCGCGTCTTTGCTCTTTCCAGGAGTGTAATTAAGGTGGCCCGTCTTCCTGCACCGACAAGAGGTCGGCGTTTCAAGTGAAGGTGGTGTTACTACAACATACTATTACATACACAAATAAAGATCTTGATTATTTCTCTTAGACTAATTAAGTAACCACCACCAACATACACTGGTCTCCGTATGTATAAAGCACGCAGTTAGTTTTATGAGTCTGGAAGTTCTCTCTACCACGTAGTCATCACATCCTCTGCGCTGTAATATAAGCTTAAGTTATGGACTAGGCCTTGTAATGCTTATATGATGCCTAATTGTCCGGATGGCATACCACATGCAACCGGGGGCTCCTGCCAGCCACACACAAGGTCAAACGTACCGAGCACTTAGCGGCAAATTAAGCTATTGATAACCAGCAAACTTGCAGCAAATACTCACTCGTGGTATACTGTGCACAGCTTGAGTAGAGTAGTAGTTAACTCGTCGCCCTCCCAAGGCGGAAACTCGGGTGCAAATCCCGGCTCTAGCATTCCCGGCTCAACTCGCACTCTTTTTTTTTTTCCTTCCCTCTTTTGTTTTTTCGAAGCCCTCCTCGTCAATTCTGGCCATCCATCATTCCCTTTCAAATTTCGAGTTTATATTAATTGAATTCAAACGTCCTGAAAATCTCATATAGTATTTGTAAATCAAGCTCAACTCACATATGATATCTGAGAACGTACTAATGCAAGACACGATATCTATGGGATTACTAAGCCAATCATCACAACGCGAAGATAAACGCAGGGAGGGAGAGCTATGAGAAGGAATGTAGATGAAATGCTGAATATATCAATGTATTTATTCTGGATGAAAGTGTCGGTAGCTAAGCTCCCAAGGTAGCTACCATTTGCAATCTAGTACGCCCCTATGCTAATGTACTTTCCGGTGCGATCGTCAACACAGTGTACACATATGTCTAACTCTTATAATAACCAAGCAATTAAAATATCTATCCGTACCTTATTTCCCAGTCGTCTAATTATTCTCATTGCACAACAGTTCAAATGGTCTACAATAAACCCTAGTCCTGGCTTTGGAGAGTCTCAGCCTCGGTTTCTTCTTTTTTCTTTGCTGCCTCGAGTACCCTGAGTCGCCTTGCCTCCCTCCACCCAGGACCCCTCTGAATCAAGATCCAGAGAATGGGAGAGAAAACGACAAGTACGAGGGCCCAGAACGTATAGGTCCAGCCCCTGCCCATCCCCCCTAGCATAGACTCGATGACCGCCGTGCCGCCGGCGCCAAAGAGACAACGTACCAAGTTATTAGCCGCAACTGCTGTCGCGGGCGCCTCAGGGTACAGGTCAACCACGAGGGTGTTGAGAATGGAGAAGGAGCCCGTGACACATAATCCTATGGCAAAAAGCAATACTAGGGGGCCGGCGAGGCTCGTCTCGGCCTGTAAGACCCAGCCATAGCAGATGGTGGCTGCAATACCCACGACGAGGAGAGGGAGACAGGGCTCGATGCGGGCCTTCTCGATAGGGAATTTGCTGAGGTCGTCGCCTCGCTTGTAGTCGATGGTGAAGCCGATTTTGTGGGCGAGCCGGCGGTAGTTCCAGTCGAGCACCCGGCCCTGGAATACGGCAGCGACGAGGCAACCAAAGCCATAGGGAAGGTAGCAGAGGCCGATCTGCAGATTGCTATAGTGGTAGATGCGAGCGAACTCGGTTGAGAGGGTGGCGCAGATCAGGATAAAGACCAGATAGACCATGGTGCTGTAAAATAGGAGCATGGCCAGATCCTTCTCGACGACGACGCGCAAGACATTGAAGGGATTCGGCCAGCGGAACTTGCGCGCTGGCGCCTTCTTCTGAGCCGGGGGATGACGACGATAACGGATGTAGTCGATGAGGGTCATGTTCCAGCCCTGAGCCGGAATGGAGCCGTTTCCCACCACCTTCCTGCACGTCTCAGGCACGGCCAGGATAAATGGTACGAGCCAGGTTCCGCTGAATATCAGACAAAACCAGAATATGGCGCGCCAGCCCAGATATTGTGCCAGAATCCCGCCGAGAACGGGGCTGAGAGCGGGACCGATGTTGATGCCGGTGCCCATGATGCCCATGTACTTTCCCCTCTCGGCGCTCACCGCGACGTCGGCGACGACGGCGAAAGTCATGGCGAGGGTGCCACTGCTCCCGGCGCTCTGCAGCATGCGGAGGACGAGGAGAGCGGCATAATTGTTTTGGAGGGCGAGACCCAGGTTGGCACCCATATATATGATTATGGAGATGATGAATGCGGGCCTCCTCCCGGCCATATCGCCCAGGTCACCAAAGACGGCCGGGGAGATGCCCTGTAATATCATGTAGGTGGTCAATGTCAGGTTGATCAGGGCGACCGAGACATCGAGGTCGGCGGCAATGGAGTTGAGTGCGGGAAAGTAGATGTTGGCCGTCATGGGAGACACAAAGCCAGCAAAGGTGATCATGCCAATAATCCATCTCTTGGTCCCCTTTGAGAAGACGCTGTAAGGTGGGCCACTGGGTACCCGACCAAGGGACCCAGAGGACTCGGGATCAGAGCTGGTGTTGTAGCTACCTGAAGAGGGGGTATCCGTGTCGTGTCCATGAGTATCACCATCACCAGCACTCGTACCAGCCGTGTTCTTCTCGCCGAGCTTGTCGCCGGTGGCGGTGGCGGTGACCGGGGCGGGCGATGGCTTGATGTCTTGTCCTGTGGACGTCAAAGGGTCACCTGAACTCATGGCGACAAGCATGCATATTCAGGCGAGGGATGTTGGAGGATGTGAAAAGGGAAGAAACACGGCTGGTAGATAAATGAAGAAGCTGGCAATGGACATCAGCCATTGCCGGGCCACTTGACCCACGAGATCAGCACCGGCCTGCACCTTGCATCACTTTATGACCACCCCTTGTCCAACCGGGAATGGGTCTTGGGGTGCTTGATAGGCAAGTGAGCCGTTGGTTGGGAGGGGAGGGGAGACAGTTTGACTGTTTATTCCCGGGCTCATGTTCAGTCTAATTCTAGCCCGATTCCAGTTCGCTTGTAGCGCAAAACTCAAAGGGCGATTTTCTTCTGTGCGAGAGCAGAAAAGCACACCTCTGCTTCGTCATCATTTTCCACGGGATGCCAGGTTCAGGCGTGTTCAATGTCATGGTGGGCGCAAGGCGGCGTTGCGGTATCGGCTCCAGCCCCAGACGGCTGGGGATCATAGGTTTAATCCTCGAAGCCAAGCTTTGAAGCCCGATGGGAGAGGCGGAAGCGCTACTTCGTACTTGTCGAGATCGGGTGCGGGCAAGGTGGGCACGCGGGACAGAGCTCGCTCCACTGTTAAAGACGGTTAGCAACCGAGGCAGGCAACCTTGGGCCGTACCGGCACCGACATCAACAGTACGCAACTACCTTAACTGTACGCGCTCCGGTCCTGCACACGACATGCATATCCGGATGATGTGCCGTTTCTTGAGAGTACCAAGTCTGCGGTACGCACTTGCCTTTTCCTTTTTGCCCTATTATGGTCGGTCAGTGGGAAATAAAACAGAGGTCCAGCTTGTGGCCATTCCATGAAGCGGTCTCTCAGTCATTGAAAAGTAGGCGTGAGAGGGAAGTGCCGATGGAGGGCGCATCCAAGAAAGTCAAAGGTGTGTCGCGTGGTCTGTTCTGCAGTGCCGGTGCTCGTCCCTGTCGTTCTGGTCCCGTCTCGGGTTTCACAAAGAACGGAAAGGAGCCTCAGGGCCCCTCAACCCCTGTGAGCATTGGCTGCGGTTAAGTGGGGATGATACTTATAGGTACATGTACATGTAGTCGGGTGAAGCCACAGGTGAAGCTCGAGCCACAGAGGTGCCTGCCCAATGGAACCAGCCACGTCACTGGTTCAATGCATAGATGCTGTCATTGTCGCTATCCTACTTATTCGGTAACACACACACACACACACACACACACACACACACACACACACACACACACACACACACACACACACACACACACACACACACGCACGCACGCACCCAGATGAGTGCTCTGAAATGGCGGACCTGACGACGGCCTTCAATGGCCTCCTCAAGCGCCATGAAGCACCGCCGACGAGGCCGTTCAATCTGGACATGGCAGCCGACGAGTTCCTCAAGGACGCCCATCGCATAAGCTCTCTCGTGGGCCGACTGCATTCCGAGCTCCTGAAACTGCGCCAGGCCTACCTCTCGACCGCTGCTCCGCGCAAGACCCATCTCCGCACCCCCAGCAGGGCTGCCCTCCCAGAGCCCCTCTCACTCACCGACCGTGACCGCGAGGAGATCGATGCCGATGCCAAGATGACACTGCGGGACCTCAACGCCCGCATCCGTGCCCTCGAGGACGCCGAGAACCTGCGCCAAAACACGCAGGCCGCCTTGATACAGAAAAAGTACTCGCGTGGGCTCGGCGTCCTGGGATCCTGGGCTGCCGGCGGTGCTGCCGGCGCTGGTGGGGCTGCTGCCTACAAGACCTCCGAGCACGCCGCTGCCGAGGCTGCTGCGCGCCAACTTGGTGTCCACCACGAGGCCATCCTGTGGTTCCTGCGCCAGCGTCTCAGCGAAGCTGCCGACACACAGCAGCGCATGATGGAGACGCGCCTTACGAGGGAGCTGGAAAAGAACAGAAGTCTTTTGGCCAAAGCGAGGCTTCCCGCCACTGGTTCTTCTCTGCCTCCTGGCCACCAAAACGACAAGAGACTACCGCCGCCGAGTGACATCACGAATGAGCAGATGCACATGTTTGAAAAAGGTAACCAGGACATGCTCAAACATTACGAGAGCACCCTGGACAAGGTCAGGTACGTTTTCCCTGTCTCAATTTCATCCTCCTCCAGGCGTTCCGAATCCCGCCATTCTAATCGCAGCAACAGAACGGCAGAGAAATCAATTCTCGAAATAGCCGAGCTGCAGACTAAGCTCGTCAGCAACCTCAAAACCCAATCCGAGCACATCGACCAGATGGTGGCCGACTCTACAGAGACCGCAGAGGGCGTTACTAAGGGAAACCGGGAACTGAAGAATGCTGCCACAAGGTCCAGCCCGGCTCGCTACACCTTCTTTGCTGCCACGGGCTTGTGCGCCTTTCTTATCGTCTGGGATTTGGTCTTCTAGCCTTCAGATGCAAGGTGGCAAGCACATTTGAAACTAAAGACTGCGCCTGCCTTTTTGCTGATTGGCCCGTCTCCCTTGGTACCTCACACCTCAATGTCCAAGGAGTTTTGTGTCCATGTTTGGCCGGCAGACGCTCCAGTCGATGGATATGATATCCCGGTTAAAAGCTGAATTTGCATCAGTGCTGCTCTACTGAAGCAGATACCCCAGCTTTGGAGCAGTGGCTACGGTAGCTTGGATACTAGACTGGAAAGATAACAGTATATTTGCATAAAGTGCAACAACACTTGAGGGGGTCAACCGGTGGGCTCGGGAGATTCCACGCATGAATGCAAACTCAGGTGAATACATTCACCCGCCAACATCGACCCCTAAGGTCAGCCGATACCAATCG